TCTGGTCAGTATTTGAAAATATTCCTAACTGTCTTATAAATATCTTTCTTGGCATGTTTGTTTAAATCATGATTCAAAACAAGATTTATGCATCACATTTGGTTGGTATAATTAAGCCTTGAAATTTGCAATGGTATCTCATTTAGGTAATTAATTATCATTTGCTTTCCAGCATTGTGGACTTTGCTATTTATACTTGTTGGTGTTATATGGCATCTTTTTCTATGCCCTGCATCATGTTCCTCTCTCCTCTGCATTTACCATAAACAGATAATTACTTGATTAAATTTATGTTCAATCTTTTTGCAGGAAAACTTCAAGAATGGTATTATCTATTGCATCTTACCAGGAGGTCCATAATGTCTTATTGTCTATTTTTGTGGTATTAAAATTGATCAGTGGGTTCAGGATATTTCAGCCAGATTCATGTATTATAAAATCCCCCCATTAGCTTTTTGCCTAATGTTTTTAGCAGCCATTGATGATTATAACTTAAATTCATTGGCAGTTGCAAAATTGTGATATTTTATAAAAAGACATTCATTCACTAGCCGTTTGGCAATCCTGAAATATTGTTACATGGGAGACAAAATAAATGTCTGATTTTTTCACTTTTATTTACCAGTTTTTAGAATAATGAGTTGGTGCCCTAGCAACCTCCAGGGGTGGTTAATAAGGTCTTTAAAAAGCATTATTATTAACTCATGATTTTTCATACATTTGATGTGCTTCAATCCACCATAGTAATTCGAATTTAATGGTCCCATTTTACTGGTCAGTGGGAAGCCCTTTGAATTAGTACCTCTATGCTTTTGACTCAGACCCACAGCAGAGCAGCGGTGAGGGGAGACTGTGCAGACCTGGATCATAACTACACTTTCATGCTATGACCTTGAATGTGACTCCAGCTGCCTGAGTCCTGCCAACTGCTGAATTCAGCTTTCTCAGGCAATTAGGTGAGCTACCTGACATCCTTCCAATGAATTCTTTTGTATGTAAGTCAAGATCTAAGAGGAAGGAGTAGAAGTGGGGACACCAATTAACACAAGATGAAGTGCAAAGGCAAGTTCAGAAGAGTATTGCAATGTAACATCAAATATGTAAATAAAAACCACAAAATAATACCATATTTTGTTTAGTCAAAATATAGTATATAAGTAGTATAGCTAGAGCATTGATAGATATAATGGACTATGGGGGTGCTGTGTCTTCGACAGTGGGGTGAAGAAAGCAAAGAAATGTAGTTTGGGGTGGGTGTTTAAGGAGACATTAGTTATGAAGGAGTTAAGAGCAGCTGACCCATGATCTATTTACTCCCTTTAGTATAGGGATGTCCTAAGAGGCTAAATAAAAAGGCAGGATGTCCTAAGAGGCTAATAAAAAACTCCTTATCAACTGGATCTTTGGCAAACAGATGAATAATATTAGCTAAGAGGAAAATAATTTATCTATTGAATGAACTTAACAGGTTATCCCTGGTCATAGGATTACTTATGCTAAATAAACCCAGAGTCTAGGAAGCATGGTTCCATAGCTGGGTAACTCTGGGTATATAAAATGAAGTCTCTTAGGTGACCTGAGGACCTCATTAGAGACTTCATCTATAACTGTGGTTCAGAGGGTATATTAGTTTGCTTGGGTTGCTGTAAAAAAAATACCACAGACTGGCTGGTTTAAATGACCAAAATTTATTTTCCCACAATTCTGGAGGCTAAAAGCCTAAAATCAAGGTGTAGGGAGGTTTGGTTTCTTCGGAGGCCTCTCATTTGTTTGCAGGTGGCTGTGTTCTGCTGTGTCTTCACATGGTTATCCTTTAGTCGGTGTCTCCTGTGTCCTAATCTTCTTTTCTTATAAGGACACCAGTCATATTGGATTAGGACTCACCTGTATGACCTCATTTTACTTTAATACCTCTGTATAGGCCCTATCTCCAAATACAGCCTCATCCTGAGGTATTAGGGTTAGGACTTCAATACATGAATGTGGAAGGTACATAAGTTAGCCTGTACTAGAGGGTGTGTGTCCAACAGGAGAAGACCTGAGGAGTCACATAGGACTTTGAGCCTTTCCAGACCTGTATCTCTGACCTTATTAGTAAAACTGGATGCTGGATAAGATTTCTGATTCATATGAATCTGACCCAGAGTGTTAAGCTATATATGTAACTTTTTGTTTTTTAGAAAAATAGACTGCAAGCAAATATGAAAAATAATTAACATGTCAATCTGAATATCTGCTATATCTTTTGTAAATTTTCCTTTCTTTTTAAGCTTGTCAAAATAAAAATGAAAGAGAAGCGGGTAAGGAATCTTATACTTGAATAAAGATAAAAGCATTGGGTAGAGAGGGATAGGGAAGTGTAAAATTAATGAAACAAGGAGGCCATTAGACTGAGGTCTCTATGGCTGTAAATAGCTCAAGATTACAAAATCAAAACCTAGGAACAACCAATCACAAACAGCCAGCTACTCTTTAATCTATAGCCCAACAATACTTTCCTTGCTTTTTCTACCCTTTTTTTTTTTTTTTTTGATATAAAATCTCTCCTCACCTCATGTTGGTAGAGCACTCCTAAGCACTTCCTGTTTGACGCTGTCAGACTGGAATAGATTTTTACTCTTTTAAACTCTTAAACTTTTTACTATGCCTCAGTATGTATTTTAACAGAGGCTATTCAAAGAGGAAGGCAAAGAGAAGGTGTCTAGGTCAAGTGGGAGGCAACACCTCATAAAGAAAGCCACAAGAACCTTGAAATAATTCTAAAACTGCTCAAGACTGTTTCGAGGTTGCCTAAAAGATCCTGATTGCCATTGTGCCAAATTCTGCCTGCACTTTACCTGCCTCAGCATATATAAGCCCATACTTACCAAAGGGTTAGGGCAGAGATTGATTGCACTGGCTCTATTAAAATTCCAGAACAGTCAAAATGATCAGGCCATACAGAGACGGTTAGGATTTTGTTTAGGCCAGTAAAGAGGGCTTGTGAAAGAATTCACAGCCAAGAGAACATAGAAAAGGGAGGACATTTTATTTGTCTTTCTCCATAGACAGGGAAAGGGCTGGGTACCAGGTGGTACTGGGCAGAGCAGAAAGAGTTGCTCTTTTATTGGGGGCTTTTGGGAGTAAAGGGCAGATGTGTGTGGGGGGAAAGGGAGTTATCATATCTTCCTTAGCCTGTAAAATATGCTTGTAAATAGGAGAGAAGAAATATGGGCCAGGGCTGGTGGCCAGTGAGTCGCACTGTTCAGACAATCAGGTCTGTTCATCTTCCCATGATGTCATCTAGAACCCCCACCCCCATCCCCGTTGTTCTCTAATTAGGAGACTAGCCAGCATTCCCAAGTTGATGAGGGGCACACCTCTCAGCCCCATCAGAATGGACTTTTCTTTAATCAGAACAAAGCAATCATGACCAACCTTGTAAAGGATGATTAACATTTTTCTGACTATGGCTTAGTGCTCCACTATGATTAGTATTCTTACTCTTCTAATATTTTCTATTAATTCTAATATTCTTTCCTGCCCCTTTCTGTTGGGTAGAAAGGCGGTTTGAAGTTGCAGACCAGAGCAATCTCTGTGTTTAATTACTAGGTACTTCATAAAAAAAGAAACACCTGTTTTCTGTTCTTACAGAGAGAGACGAGAGAAAACAATTTATAAAAGCAGTTGGGCTATTGTTGTAGCTCACTGTCCTTAGAATCCAACTTGTCTTTAAGCTGCCCTAATTAACAACCTCAGAGACAGCAAGATGAACAATGGGGAATGTTATAGAGGGCTTTAGCCCCATAAAAATTAACCAGAGTTTGACCTTCACTGGGAATTTGAAAAGCAACATCCTTCAAGAAAAGGGAGGACAGAAACGGCCCCAAGGCCAGAGTGTCCTGCATGCTCTGTAAAGAAACTGATAGGGAGAAACTGAAGCTCCCTTTACCCCATAAAACTGTAACTGTTCAACATGTGTGTATTGCACCTGACTGACCGCTGATATCTGTCTCGAATTTGTTAGTTTTTAAAACTTGGATAATGGAATGAATAGCAGGACAGATGTATGCTGACCCAGTTCACCCAGTTCCCTTTCGCCTCAGCTCCCTCCCCCCTCCGTTCCCTCCTGCTTATTGCTAACTGCCTCGGCTTCTGTACAAGCAGCTTGCTTGCTCTGCTAAACTCTTGAATGACCCCTGCCCTATATAAGCAACCCTCCCCCTGAGCGCAGGGCTGCAGTTCTCCTCTGTGTAGGTTGGCTGCAGTCCCTGCGCAGGTAATAAAACATCCCCCAAAACTGAAAAATTGAGTCTGAGTGTGGTCGATCTCCTGGGTTACAACACTATCTACAATGACTTATTTTACTGTACTTTAAAAAGAAAAGAAAAGGTGCATTAAAATAAAAAACTGAGATCTATAATTATCCGTAGAAATGGCAGGTGCCAAACCCAAAACATCTTAAAGCTCTCTCCTTTGGGGCTCTGATGAGCACCCCGTTCTCATATTCTTCTGATATTACACATTGCACATATTTCCTTGTGTAGCTTGAACTATTTATTTAAAGGCATGTAACCCACAAAGTTTATAACTCAAAATCCAGCGTATGTAGAAGGGATCCCAAGCCCTTGGTGGATACCATCCTCGGGGCCTAGGAAGCAGGGGCGGTGAAGGAGACCACCTGCAGACCAAGGGGGAACATAGAGGCCATGTTCGTACATACTTATTCACTTTTTATTTCTCCAGGAAGGGGCAGGTACAGGGGCTCGAATGGCACAAGGGCTAGAATCAGAGAGGAGAGAGTAAAATCGCCCTAAGCGGACGGTGACAGGCCCCAGACCAGTCAAGGTCAAGCCCCGGGATAATCTCGGACTTGGCCGCGAGACCAGCGGGTCACCAGCTCAGCCCCCGCCTGCCGCCCACTCCAGGAAGCGGGCCGGGAAGCGCGCACTGCGCAAACTCCGCGGCCCCGCGCAGGCGCAGGAGGGCGGGCGCGCGCGCTCCAGGCCGTGCGACGGGGCTGAGGAGCGCGAGCTTCTGGTGTTTGCCTTTGCTAGGAACGCGCGTTGCCATGGCGTTGCGGGGCATCTCGGTGGTGGAGCTGGCGGGCTTGGCCCCCGGCCCGCTCTGCGGGATGATCCTGGCGGACTTCGGGGCGCGGGTGGTGCGCGTGGACCGGCCCGGCGCCCTCGGCGACGTGAGCCACCTGTCCCGCGGCAAGCGCTCGCTGGCTGTGGACCTGAAGACGCCGCAGGGAGCGGCGGTGGTGCGGCGCCTGTGCGCCCGGGCGGACGTGGTGCTGGAGCCCTTCCGCCAAGGTGAGCGGCCTGGAGGCCTCCGCCCGCAGGGAGCCACCTGTGTGAGGCCGCGCCCGCCACCCCCCGCCCCGTGGCCACGGAACCCTGCTTTCCAGACCGGCTGCCTTTGATCAGCTGCCTCTTGGGAAGCCCTTCCATGCTCGGAGTCCGAGCTCCTGCTGTCGCCCTCGTTCTCCTTGTACCTCTCTCCGCCTTCTTCCCAAGTCTCCCTTTATTCTACGCACCCATTTATATCCGCCTCTCGTGTTATCCGAGGTCAGGAACCCTCTGAGAATCTCATGAGAGTCATAGGTTGTCTACAAGGACAGCGGCACGAAGGCACACAGTCTCTTCACGAGATAGGAGGTGGGGTCGGTGCGCCCTCCCAGCCACGGACTGAGCCAGGCGACATCCCCTGCCGTGATCGCTGGTGCTCCCCAATTCCAGCCTCAGCTCAGTGCGGGCACACTGCTGCCTGGAGCCGCCGTTTCCATTGCTGTTGTTTTCACGTCTTATAGGCAAGAGGGTGCCCGAGTCTGTAACTGCACACCTCTCTTCCAGAGTCCTGGACTAGGGTACACGGGTCCTGTGCATCTCTCTCTGACTGTCCTCCGGCACGGCAGCCTCCACGAATCCCAAACCCAGCCCGTCATCTTCCCTACGAAAATGGCATCTCCGTCTTCTGTGTTATTGATCTCCGTGCACGGAACCAATATTCACCCAGTTGCCTGGTTCAGAAACCTGTACTTCATCCGGGACTCCAAATCTTCCTTTCATTCCACCCAATTGCAATGATCACAAGTCCAGCCATTCTCCCTCCTTTCTAGACTCACGATTCTTTCTCTTCATAACTGCTGCAGCCTACTTGACACCCTTGTTAACAACCTTTTTGAAGGTGCTGTTTGGGTCTAGCACCAACTGGATCCACTCTCAGATAGCTGTCAGTAATCTTGCTCAAGTACAAATCCAAAGCTTTGCCTAGCATTTAGCAGAAAGTCAGTAAATGTATAGTGAATTACATGCCTGTAAGGCACCAGGCATATTAGATGTGTTAACTCATTTACCCTCACAGCCTGCTTTGAGGATAATAATATAATTAGGATTATATCATAATTTATAATGCTCCATTTGAAAATGAAGGAAGCTCAAACTGGTTAAGTGATTTGTCCAGGGTCTTGTTATTAGGAAGAAAATAAAGCTGTGAATAAAGCTGTAGCTGCCAGGTGAGGGATTGTGCCAGGTGAAGTGTTTAGGAGGAGGGCCAGAGTTCTTTTGTCATTTATTACAGCCTTAGGAAGACCATGACAGTGAATGTATTAGGCACTTTTTAGTACTTTTGATTCCAGGAGACTTAGGTGCCAGTTACCTGAATTTTGTGCAATAAATATCATACTTGGTGATAACTTAAGAGCTTGGATGCTACTGTTGCTAACCTTTCTTTCCATGGATATTTCCTGAGCCTTTTTGTGACGGTTCTAATGCTAGGAGCTTTGAGGCCTAGCATGAAATCAGGCAGCGATCCTGCCAGAAGAGCTTCTGAGCTGATAGGGAATATGGAATATATGCATACCTAAGTACTCCATGAAGCAGGAGGCGGCAGGCACTGATGCTGGCATTGAAAAAGACGAGGTCCTAAAAGGACTAGCCGCTTTCAAAAGTGAGGTGTGTTTTTGTTTTTTGTCAAATAAAGACCTAGGGTAACTGTTCCAAGAGAACAAACCATTTGTAATAAATTACTACGAAGAGCATTTGAGAAACTGTAAAGGGACTGACTACAGGGATGAGATGCCCGCTCTAGGGATTGAAGAGGCTTGGATATGCCTGAAGGGGAATAGTTACGTGCTGGAGGGAGACAGAATTCTGGGGCAGAAGCCACACATTCTAGAAGTTGTGGCCTCACTTTTTGAGTTCTTAACTACTGGAAACATGTTATAAACCTATAACAAGTGTTATTATTATTACTTGCAGGAGTGCTGTTTTGTTTGCCACATTGAAGAGAGTATACCCATCCTCAGTTCACGCTCTCTTACGAACAGAATTGTTGCTTTTCTTTTAAGGTGTTATGGAAAAACTCCAGCTCAGCCCAGAGATTTTGCTGAGGAAGAATCCAAGGCTTATCTATGCCAGGTTGAGTGGATTTGGCCAATCAGGAAGATTCTCAAGGGTAGCAGGACACGACATCAACTATTTGGCTTTGTCAGGTATGTTGAAAAAATAATTTCTCTGTATTTTTATTTCCAGTCAAGATCTACAGTTATACTAATTAATGGAAAATAATCTTTAAAGGTGAAGATCTAAATCAATAAGGAGAGTATGGTGATTTTAAAAGGGCTGGCTGGTCTTGGAACAGTTGTTCTCAACCCTTCCCCTGGATAATACTCTCACTAGTAACATACTTCCTACATTCATGGAGTCAACTCTCGGGCAAGCCCCTGCTTGGGAGTCAGGGACTTGGTGGTAGAAGGGATGTTGCTCTGTAGTTTGAAAATGCTGATATAGTTTGATTTTGATACCCCCTCCCCCACCTTCATTGAGAATTATTGTCTGAGTCATCATTTTAGTCTTCTATGGATGGCCTGATTTTAGAATTTAAGGACTGTGTGTTATTGAGTAAATTCTCAAAATCTGTGAGCACACATTTAAAGGTTGAGGAAAGAGTGAGTATAGAAGTTTTTTCATATCTACTTAAAATTATTTTTAATTTTTATTTTCAATATATATTTATTGTTGAAAGTATTATAGATGTCCCTTCTCCCCCCACAACATTGACTCCTCCCTTCCCCCTCCCTTCCTTCCCCACACTATTGCCTGTGTCCATTGGTTATTGGTTGTGCCCATATGCATATCGGTTCTTTGGTTTTTCTCTTCCCACCCCACTACCCCCTTCCCTCTGAAGTTAGTCAGCCCGTTCCCTACTTCCATGTTTCTTTTTCTTGCATCTCTTTCTAATAAGAATGGAAATGCGTTATACTGTTAAGCCATAAACTAAACTAATACTAATCTTTTTTCTCTTGGAATCATTTATCTTAGTATGTAAAAACTTAGAAATAAAAGTCTGAAAATGTTAGATGGAATAAGGTTGTAGAGAAGAAAAAAACAAAATAAGGAACCTTATTGGAGGGGAAGCCTGTTTATAAGTAGGCCGAGTATGTTTAGGATGGGAAAAGTGTTATGAACTAGTTTCTACTTATGTCAGCAACTAGAGAGATTGGTTAGTGTATATTTATTTAAAAGAGAAGTTACATTTACAGTTAGTGTTCTCCGATTTTTTTTTTTTTTTTGTAGGTGTCCTGTCGAAAATTGGCAGAGATGGTGAGAATCCATATGCCCCACTGAACCTCCTGGCTGACTTCGGCGGTGGAAGCCTCATGTGCGCCCTGGGCATCATGATGGCTCTCTTTGAACGTACACGCTCTGGCAAGGGTCAGGTCATCGATGCAAGCATGGCAAGTGTCCGTTGGGGGAAATGATAACCCTGCCAGTCGTTTCTAAGGATGATACAAGACAGGAGATCAATGAGGTTTGAAGTTTGAATCCAAGTTACCAAGGATACTAAAAAAAAAAAGCCGCATATCCTTTCCATGAGTCAGAATGTCGTATCTTGATCATGTGTTTGTGGACTCTGTTTTCTAAAAATTCTGGGGCTCCCCTGATTCTTGTGTCTTATTACTCTTCCCTAGCGGTTTCTTGTGATTAGAATGTAGTTTTCAAGAAATACTCATTCAAAACTGGGCTCAAGAAGTCCTCCTTGGCAGAAAAGATTCCTAAGAATACTAAGATAAAATGGACCAGTCTAGACCTTCCTGCTGCATTTTGTAGGGGATACTTCAACATCATAATGCCTTTGTCTTTTTCTTGCATTGATTTTCTTTCATAGAAAGAGAGGGAGAGGGAGAGAGAGATAGAATATGGATGAGCAAGAACATCGATTGGCTGCCTCCTGCATGCCTCTCAGTGGGGATCAGGCCCACAACCTGGGCATGTGCCCTGACTGCGGATCATACTGGTGACCCTCGGTGCCTGGGTCGATGCTCAACCACTGAGCCACACCGGCCGTGCTGTTTTTTTTTTTTACTGCCATACACCAATCTTGTGCCTTGTGCACAAGCTGGGCACTTTCCCTGTGTGATTTCTTCTAATCCAATTTCATTTGGAATATGTTGTTATTTTAAAGAGGAGAAAACTGAAGCACAGAAACTTGCCCAAAGTCTCACAGCTAGTTGTGGAGAGCCCAGTTCAGTGCCACTGCACATTTGCATCTGGACAGGGCCTTGGAGGTAGGATGGGGGATGGATTTGAGGCAGATAAGACTGGAGGCAGAGAGATGGTTAATGGGTTATTGCCAAGAGATAAGAGCAGGTACTAAACTAGTTAGTGGTAGAATGGGTCTGGATTTAAGGGATATTTGAGATGTACAGTAGCCGGGGTTTGGCAGTGCACTGGCGGTGAGGGAGGAGGGAGGAATCCAGCATGGATTCTGGCTTGGGTGACCTGAAGGAGGGTTACTGAAGGAAGCAGCAGTACGGCACAGCAGGGAAGAGCGTAGACTCTGGTGCCGACTTCCTGCATCCTGGCTCTGCCAGGTCTAGATCCTGCCTCAGTTCTTTGTAAGACAGATAATAATGGTATCCACCACACAGCACTGCTAGAGTATCAAGTGAGTTCAGTGTTCAGTGAGGAAACAGTGCCTAGTGCTCTGTAAGAATTTGTTGTTGTTAGAAGAAGAAAAACAAGAAAGGGAATTCGGTTTTGGTCATTTCAAGTTTGAAGTGCCTTTGAGATATCCATATGGATGCCTGAAGGGAGGGACTAGAAACAGGTCTCAGTCACTGGGGAGCCACTGTGGGAGTGGGGTCTGGGAAGGGGCAGAGCATCAGCGAGCGCGAGGAGAGTTAAGTGGGGGCCAGAGGGAGCATTGTCATGGAGACATAGAAAAGAGAAAGTCCAAGAAAAAGGCCTGGTCAGGGGTCACATGTTGGTGGTGATCTCAAGAGTTTAAAACTGAACAACCCTAAAGATTGGATTTGTCATCAGTGACCTTTTGAAAGCTGCTTCCTACCAGAGTCCCTCAACTCCAGAGTCTGTGCTTGTACTTCCTTCTCTCAGGTTGGTCGCTCACAGCTCTGTAACCGCTTCTGTGCCTTGTGATACAGCCCTCAGGGTGCACCTCCCATGTCCTTTGGTGCCCTGATCTGTGCTAGCATGCAACAGTAGCCGCAGCAGTGCCAGTTTCGCTTTCTACCAGCAAGCGCAAGGCGAGATGCTTGACGTATGTCTACCTCCTTTCATCCAGACAGCTCCCTGGAGGAGGTATGCTCACCTTCATCTGACCTTTGAAGACTGGGAGAGAATGACTGAGAACAAGTCTAAAGGGTCAGAAGCCCTGCACTCAGGCAGTTTGACGCTGAAGCCCATGCTTTCAGTCACTGCCCTCTACTGCCCTCTATTGGTCTGTGTGATCCAAAAGGACTGAATGAGGACAAATGGGCCTTGGGGGTTTTAAGGATAATTTAAGGCTAAGTACTTATTTAGTAATAATTTGAATAATTTCCTAGTGACACATAATTGCTTATTTATAGTCAAATATCTATAAAAGATAATTGCTACTTTCATCAGACTGTGTCTAATCAGAATTTCATGATGATTAGGAAGGCAATAAGGGTTTTAGTGTATGTGAGAATGTTGTAAGCTTCATTTAGGTTTTACATTTGCATTAGGGTATAGTGAGTGTTGGCTAATTACTCAAGGCCAAATGGATCAGTAAAGCATCATATTCATTTCTTCCCCCAACTCTGGGAAGCGTTGTGCTTTGTGATACAAATAGTTGTAGAAGCTGAATACTTTATATTTTAAGCCAGTAGTTTTCAAATGTTTTAGCAGTAGACTCCTCGACAGGCCAGCCTGGGATGACCTGAGTTGTCTCTTCATATACTATTTCCCTGGAAACTGTAGAGTTACGATAGCTGTGGAATGTGGGTCCGTTTTGCTGTGTTTACCCCTGATCTAGGGACATGCGTCTGACCTGGGGTGCTGTGTGCTGGCATGCAGGCCTTTGGTCTACACAATGGAAACAATAGAAGAGGTTGAGTAATTGAGGCTGCAGTTTCCCTGTGTTGCAGGGCTCTCGTCTGGGCCCACCTACGCATGCTGGGGAACCTGGTGATCAGATGAGGGTTGTAACTGCTGTTTCTTGTCCTGTATCCTCCTGTGGCACCAAGTAAAGGTGGGATTAGATTAGAGCATGTTTGCGTCCCGAGTGGGCCAAACTGGACCTGTAACTCCATTAGTGCAACTTTTTTTCAACAGACTCATCAGCACATCTAGTGAGTAAGAGATTATGTATGTAAATGTATATATATAATGATATGCATATCATTATATGTATGTATGTGTATATGCATATATACAAATGTGTATACTCTCTAATATCTGTGTAACACAGATTCAAAAAATGGCACCACTTGCCCAGCCGGTATGGTGCAGTGGATTAAGCATTGTCCCATGGACTGAAAGGTCCCCATTTCTATTCCCAGTCAGGGCATGTGCCCAGATTGCAGACTTGATCCCCAGTAGGGGGCGTGCAGGAGGCAGCCAATCAATGCTTCTCTCTCACATCCATGTTTTTCTCTCTGTCTGTCTCCCCCCCCCTCTTCCATTATCTAAAAATCAATGGAAAAATATCCTCAGGTGAGGATTAATAACAAAAAAGATATAGTAAATACATAAGTATAGTTTCCTTGGATTTGGAGTCAAACTAGAATAAGCTAAATTTTACTGTAATGTGACTTACCTTTAAAATGTGATATGCTTCATATATATGTGTTTATAAACATTGAGGTCATAAGATGGACTTTTAAAAGCCTTTTTGCTTTTTCTTTTAGCTTTTTATCCTGACAGTTTTAACATATACAGAAGTAGAGAGAATATACTGTAAATGAGCTTCTATGTACCCTCACCTAACTTCAGAAATTACCAACATTTCAAGGGCGGGGGGAAGGAGGGACATCTGTAATACATTCAGCAATAAAGATAAGTTTTAAAAAAAATTATCAACATTTTCCAGTCTTATTTGAAAGGGAGAACAAAAGTATACCTTCTAGTTTTCTGAACTGAATAGTGTAGAAACCCACTCAAAATACCAAAGAAGTTGTATATTTAGATATAATCTTATATTCTCAGATAAACATTTTTGCACAACTATTAAAGAAAAACCTGAGTAGGAAGTAATCATGTTTTTACAATCTAATTGTCTGGATCTGTATTGCATTCTGTTTCTTTAAAGGTGGAAGGAACAGCTTATCTAAGCTCTTTTCTGTGGAAAACTGAAAATCTGGGACTGTGGAAACAGCCTCGAGGAAAGAACTTGTTAGATGGTGGGGCACCTTTCTACACAACTTATAGGACTGCGGACGGGGAGTACATGGCTGTTGGAGCACTAGAACCCCAGTTCTACAAGCTGCTGATCAAAGGTAAGCGACTTTCATAGCCTCTCCCACCCCTCTTTTCCTCTGGATATTCTTTAGCCTCTATTTTGGGGCCTTTTGAAATTCATGATGTCTGTTGTTACCTATCCACATTATAATTAACCTAGTTATAGCCATCATTATATTGTGGGGTATTTCCCCCATCTTCTAAATTGACAGGTAATTTTACCATTCTATGAAATAGCTCAGGATTTTAAAGAAATAATAATGTCTTTTGTGGGAGTTCAGTGTTTTTATTACATTTCATACTAAGTAGAGTTGGATATTTATCTTGCCCCTTGTATGCTGTTATCTTCTCTTCTCTAGAAATGGCCTGCTAGTCATCCTGTTCCTTGGTAGGTGTCCCTCTTGACACTGCATTGTCAGGGGTCACCAGAACACAGAGAGACTTTGGCAGATGAGATTTTGTTGGAACATGTCAGTATCACAGTTCTGCAGTTTACCTTTCTTTCAGATTCTCGTCTTGTTGGCATGCTACCACAATTTAGCAAAAAAATTTGCGATCCCTTCTTCCCTAGTTAAATAATTGAACTGAAGTTTTGTTCCCATGCAATGTTCAGATTTAAAGTTCACAGTATACTCTATACTGATGGGCATTTGAGCTGTTTCCAGATCTTAGCTATTTTTTTTTTTTTAATTTTATTTTTGTTACAGATGATTTTCCTATTTTACCCCATTGACACCCTCCTCCCCATCCCCCCGCCCTGTCCCCAGTTTGTTGTCCATGTCTGTTGGTTATGCATACATGCATATAATTCTATGGTTTATCTCTTCCCTTCCCCCCCACCCCCTCTTCTGAGGGTTCTTAATCTGTACCCTACTTCCACGTGTCTGGGTCTACCCTATTCCTCAGACTGTTATGTTCATTATATTCCACAAATAAGTGAGATCATGTGGTATTTGTCTTTTTCTGCTTGGCTTGTTTCACTTAGGATAATACTTTCCAGGTCCCTCCATGTCATCTCAAAGGATAAGAGATCTTTCTTTCTTACAGCTGCATAGTACTCCATTGTGTATATGTACCACAGCTTTTTATCCATTCGTCTACTGATGGACACTTGGGCTGTTTCCAGATCTTAGCTATTGTAAATAGTGCTGCTATGAACATGGGGGTACATATATTCTTTCTGATTGGTGTTTCAGGCTTCTTAGGGTATATTCCTAGAAGTGGGATCACTGGATCAAATGGTAATTCAATTTTTAATTTTTTGAGGTAACACCATAGTGTTTTCCATAGTGGCTGCATCAGTCTGCATTCCCACCAGCAGTGCACTAGAGTCCCCTTTTCTCCACACCCTACCAACACTTGTTGTTTGATGATTTGTTGATGGCGGCCATTCTGACAGGTGTGAGGTGATACCTCATTGTTGTTTTAATTTGCATCTCTCTGATGATTAGAGATGTTGAGCATTTCTTCAAATGTCTCTGGGCCATTTGTAGCAACATTAATTTTTGACTGCTTAATATGTGCCTAATGTATTATAGAGAAGTAAAGTTTATAACGTGTACTTAAAATTGTATTTTGTGTAATTGTGAATGTATGTGTAAGGTAGTGTTTTTTTTGTTTTGTTTTGTTTTAATCAAAATATACTTTCTCAAGTTTCAAATGGTATCTGAGTCCCCATTCCAGTCCCTGAAAGTCTGTTTGACTTGTAGTACCAGAAATGTAATGCTGCTGTACCATAAAAACTAGCCACATTCTATAATAGTTTTTCATGGTAGAATGGGCCCAGACTGCACACAGGACTGTTGAGAGAATAGGAAACCGCCCACCCTGTACCTCTGGTAGCTAATCCTGTGGCCTGGTCCCAGACTTCACACAGGACTGTTGAGAGAATAGGAAACCGCCCACCCTGTACCACTGGTAGCTAATCCTGTGGCCTGGTCCAGGTCCTGGCAGGATGAGAGTGGGCTGAGAGAGGTGATAGGACAGTGGAAGAGCTGGGGTGCCAGAGTTTGGGGTAGAACCTGGGGTCTTTTGATGTTTTGTAGTTTTCCAGGATGTAACTGTGACCTTTGTAATCTCAACTATAATGTTTGTTAGAGAGGATACTGGCTCCAGTTTTGCTTTGCATTGTGTTTCTCATCACATTTTGATTTAAAAAATGTTTTAAAAACATGCAGAGATGTTTTCAGCAGTGTCTATCATCTACATCACTACTTTTGGAGCAATCAGGAAAGAGAAAGCAAAATGAAAGACTTCCTTAGAAACTGAAACTCTGGTTCAGGTCTTCCCTGGCATTTGAATGGGACAAGTGGCTACAGAGAAAAATTTACTTGCATATCTCACAAGTGTCTTTTCACAACTATCCAGAACGATGTGAGTCCATATTTCCTGCCATCACTCAAAACCCTACAAAGATCCTGCAGGGGTCACATCTTCTCACCTCCGTGGGGACTGTGTCTTCAGAGCAGCTTACGATTAGCTGTGTTCTTCAACGTGGTAGCGAAGGAAAGGGTGATAAAAGTGAGAATTATTTGGTTAATTTGGCTAAATTTACACAAAATATTATGCATAAGAAGAAGGGGCTTTTATTATTATTTCACTCTTAAACATCCACCTTAAAAACCCTCTTCCATGAGGGAATACAATGACATTTACACCAAACCCTAGTCAAGTGGCCCTTCTGGGTGTAATGTAATCAGCGCTGGAGCTCTGTGTTCTGCAGGGGTGGGTGCTGGTAGTCAGTAAAGGAAGAACAGAGCAAGTCATGAGCCGAGAAGCCATCGTCCCCGGAACTCCCCAGCCAGATGCCTTCATCCTTCTGCACGGTGTGTGGATGGGCCCTCTAGCCCCTCACGCCTGAGAGAATCTGTGTGCCCCACTGGTGACCAGATGGCGGATAATTTCTGTCCTGTTTGCTGTAAGAAGAGTTTGCTGAGTCTTGGATTACTTGACAGGTTTTTGTTCCTAGTTCACAGCAGTGTTTTTAAGGGGGCGATGAATCAAACATCACTGCTCTCCTAGGGCTCTTTCATTTGATTACATGCAGAGAAATGAGTGTTATTTCTAAAATTGCACTCTTGAATTTAATCATTTATTGTTAGGCTTCTTCCTTGAAAACTGAGGTAGACAGAGATAAATTGTTTAGATTTGATCTTTTGTAAGGTTTGGGAGCATTATATACAGTATGAGGTTATCTTAATTCAGATAATCACATCACGAGGAAATTTCTTTTTGAAAACCTACTCAGAGGGAAAAAATAGGTTTCTGGAAACTAGACTGTTAAAAGCAGATTACTTTTGATGAAGTATAAATAATAAAATCCTGGCATGGAGAGTCTGTTTTGAATTCTGCTTCCCCTACTACTTCTGCCCTCTCCAGCCTTGGGCTCGACTGCGTGCTGAGTGTGAATTCCTTCTCTTGGCCCATTTGAGAAACCTTATAGAACATCTGATTTGGGGCAGTAAGCTTAAAACTTATTTTCATTGATTATAATCATTCCACCCAAAGCATAATAATTTAAGAAATTGTGTTTTTCCTCTCAGGACTTGGGCTAAAGTCTGATGAACTTCCCGATCAGATGAGCATGACTCATTGGCCAGAGATGAAGGAGAAATTCGCAGATATATTTGCGAAGAAGACAAAGGCAGAGTGGTGTCAGATCTTTGATGGCACAGATGCGTGCGTGACTCCGGTTCTGACTTTCGAAGAGGTTACGCATCATGATCATAACAAGGAACGGGGCTCATTTATCACTGATAAGGAGCAGGGTGTGAGTCCCCGCCCTGCACCTCTGCTGTCGAGGACCCCAGCTATCCCTTCTTTAGAAAGGGATCCTTTTATAGGAGAACACACTGAAGAGATTCTTACAGAATTTGGCTTCAACCAGGAAGAGATTGATCAGCTTTACTCGGATAAAGTTATTGAAATTAATAAGATGAGAGCTAATCTCTAAAGCCCAGGCCCCTCAGCTCAAGTGAATCTGAATATTGCATTTATAGAGTAATGCAGACAAATGCATGAACTCTGCTCCGCTGCTACCTCCGCCCTCTCCAGCCTTGGGCTCCAGCGGCACCGAAACGTGGAAGGACAGTTTTGCAGCATTTCAGCTACGCTAATCAAGAAACAAGACTGATTTCACAGTAATGACCCAATTCCAAAGATGGTTAACATCATGGCTTTTGATTTAGGAATGTTTTTAGTTTACTTATTCTAAATTGTGGCAGTTTTCCTGCCATCGAGTTACTTGATAGATTATACTTGTTGATATTAAAACACTTAAATATTTATAATATACTTTAAATGAATCAATATCATGCTTTTTATTAAATAAAGCTTTTTTCCTCCTAAAATGTACTTGTGAGCTTTTAAGTCTGAAAAGCTTTCAAGAAAGTCCTATAAGTAGTACTCCAATAGCATTTTGTGACTCATTGAAATAATTTTGGTTTTACTCCAAAATGAATGTCCTTAGATACCAAAGTCTGATCCTTTTAATTTGATAAGGAAATTGTTCAGCCAGTCTTGAAACTTCCTTCAGGTAACTCCCAGCCCTCCATCTAGACCACTCTATCAGGGCCTGAATCCTCTGCGAGCTGCCTGTTGGCATTACCCAAAGGTGTCTCTTCTCTGTCCATTGCACCGGAATCCATTTGATGCATTCTCGTAGACCCTTCCTCCTCTTACCAATTTCCAGTTTCCATTCCCATCCCGTCTCCCTCTGCCCCTAGCAGGCCCTGGCTCACCCCTCACCTCAGGCCACTGCCCAAATGTCACCTTACAGGGAGTCCTTTCCTGCACTTTGTCTAAAGTAGCGCCCACCTTACCACTCACTGTCCCCCACCACATACCACTACTGACGTTGTAGTGACCCAGCCCTCACTCCCTCTTAACCACTGCACGCTGGATGGAAGCTTTCATGAAGGATCTGGAGGTTTCATTCATTGTTATACCCCAGGCTCCTGGACTAGAGCCTGACTCATAGCGAACACCTGGTGGCTGCTTGTCAAGGAATGGAACTCAACAGTGTGTGGAGCCACTTCCGCCTCCACAGCTCCCGGCCTGTCCTCCAGCCCAGCTCTCAGTCCTTCAGGCCCCCAGGCCCCTCCCCCTCTCCCGGGACTGCTGGGATCATTGCCTTCATTGTTTTTCATGTTTTTGACCCCAAACTGGTCTTTTCAGTCCTGTAAAATTTTTCAGTGATCCTCTTTTTTCCTGTAGAATAAAATATTAATTCATCTATATAGCATTTTAACCCTTTATTCATAATGAGACTTCTGCCTAGCTGTCCAGCCCCATCCCTACCCCTCTGCTCCCCAGCACTTTATACCGGACTGCCTGAAGTGTCTAAGCACGCTCTGGCCTCTGTTGCTTCCATCCCTTTCCACGTGCTGCACATCCTCTGGGACGACCAGTACTCCCGACCCCTTTTGCTCCAGCACATTGACCTAGCAAGCTCAGACTTGGCTCAAACACAGTCTTCTTTGTGAAACTTCCTTCATTTCCCAACCCTAGGGTGGTTTTATACAGTGATTATGAACTTGGAGCAGGAAGGCCTTGGGTTCACCTCTCACTCTATCACTGATGTCTGAGACGGTGACTGATGTGCCTAGAACCCCCCAGGTGCTAGGTGTTAGCTCCTGGTCTTGGGAACTCAGTACATCCCCATTGCACTTTGTACATAGCTCCAAAGACAGTAATCGTTTTTAGGGTAGTTTACATAACTCTACACTGGGCCATGAACTCCTAGCACACAAAGAATCATCTAGAGATACTGTTAAAACACAATTTCCTGGATCCCACCCCTAGAGATTCCAATGCAGTAGGTCTAAGGCTGGGCTCAAGAATTTGCATTTTTACCAAACTTGATTATAATGCTTCTGGTTCAAAGGGCATGCTTTGAATAGCACTGTTCTAATGGATATGAACCAAATCATTTTATCTTTTTAGTGTCATAAGAGGTGCTAAAAAAAATCTGTTGAATAGTTTGGTGAGGAAAAGGCTAAAAAAAAAATTGGCAAAAATCTGTAAATAAACAGATGGGCTGGCTTAGAATATTGATTTCTGTGATTAACTTTACACAAAATGTTGAATGAAAAATTGTTTTTTGTAGGGTGTGAACTTGTTAGTGACCCATACTTTTCTTCTGAGGAGTGTCAGACCTTGTGCAGAAAATGCTATACTTTCTCTTTTTTTTTTAGTTATTTTTTGGCAAACTGTAGATTTAGAAATAGGCAAGGGGGCAGGTAAAGGGAGGGAAATTCTAGTGAAAGAGGGATTGTATTTTTTTTGGTTTTACTTGATTTTTAAAAATTAAGTTTATTAGGTAACAGTTAAAATATTATATAAATTCAAGTATACAAGATCATAATTTGATATCCGTGTACTCTGTTGCGTGCTATTCACCCGAAGTCTAGTTCCTTCCATTACCATATATTTGCCCCCCTTTACCCACTTTGCCCTCCCCCACTCCTTCCCCTGTGGTAACCACCATTCTGTTTTCTTTGTTTTTGTTTTACTAGTTTGTTGCTTTTTGTTTTATATCCCACATATGAGTGAAATTATATTGTTTTTGTCCTTTTTCATCTGACCTATTTTACTCAGCATAATACTCTCAAGATCCATCTCTGTTGTTGCACATGGCAACATTTCATTTTTATGGCTGAGTAATATTCCATTATATATCTGTACCACATCTTTCTGCAATCATCCATCAGTGGACACTTCACTTGTTTCCCTGTCTTGGCTATTGTATATTATGCTGCAGTGAACATAGAGAGACATATAGCTTTACAAGTGTGTTAATATTTTTTAGGTAAATCCCAGAGAGAAATTCCTGGGTCACATGATCGTTCTATTATTTTTTTTAGAAGACTGTATACTGTTTTCCACAGTGCCTGCACTAATTTACATTCCCACAAGAGGAATTATATACTTGAATACATAGGAATTCTGTTCTTGAATGTCTAATTCAGAATACGCTTATTGACACTCTGTGTTGATCCTACAATGTAGGAAATGATGAGGTGCCACAGACTGTGGTATAAATAAAACAAGTCACGTGGAATGAGCTGACTTGCTGCATCAAGGCTGTTGACGCCGGGCTCCTGCCTTCCCTCTGAGCTCATTCCAGGCTTCAGTCACTTTATAACACACCTTTACTTACCTCAAATAAGGATCCCTTGAACTACGAGCGACTAAGTCCCAAACAAGAAAGCAGTGTTTGGCTCGCATACCCGGAGTCCAGAAGGACAGTGCATTTTGGGGTTGCGTGAATCCAGTCACCTGGACCCTGTTTCCCGCTCTCTCCTGGCTCCGCCCACCAGCCATCCTCCACGGGTTCGCTTTATTCTCAGCCTGGTCGCAAGCTCTGATCTCATATCCACACAGCGACATCCAGAAGAAGAGAGGGTTGCAGGAGTCCTCCACAAGCCGTATCTTGTGTTTCCTTGGAGCTAAGTCACAAGCCGGTCCTACCCCCGTCTTTGGCAGAGAAGGTAAGATATCCCTACCTAATGCCAGCCTGGAAGCTCTGGGTGTAGGAAGGAGGGGTGGATTCTGGAATCCAAGCTAGGTTCCCAAGAACTGGGGAAGTGGAGAATGGTTGGGTAGGCAGCCAGTGACAATGACATCCATTGCACACGCTATTTCGATTGCTTTTCAGCAGACACGGGAAAGTAAGGCAGGCTTCTCCACTCCGCAGATGGGCACGAGGCTCAGATGCTCCTCACCTCCTCAGGTCACACCTCCCTTAGTGTCTCTCTCCGGAGTTTTTTCAGGGTGCCCCTAGGTCAAAAGAAATATCTAACCATTCCACTTATAATCAAGCCCCCACGACGGAAATATTTCTGTCCTAACAAGTAATTAGGTGTTTGAAAAATATAATATACATAAATAGAAAGAAGTCCTATTTTAATTCTTACTTAATTTGTAATCACAGTGAGTTCTGAATGGGTCATGCGGGCCTGTATGACACCACAGCTTTGGGTGTTGTGGACTCGGACTGGACGCGGCTCCTCTTGTTCTCTGTAGCGCATCTTATGTTGAAAGTGTGAACCACCTCGCAAGGAGTTCGCGTGGTGTCTAACAGATGGCGAGTTTCGTTCAGTCTTCAAATGGGTTGCTATCTTGAGATACCCTTTCGAATTCATTGTAGTGCCCTGGGGCGCCTCAGTACACAGTTTGGGAAATACCGATTTAAGTGATTCCCCCAGGGAGATACAGCTAGGAAGAGGCAGAGCTAGAATTGAAACTTGAATATTCTGACTCCTGGCTCCAACTCTTTCCCTGAAACCATTTTTAGGGCCCTTCCTGTAAGATGGTGTTTCCCCTGCCACTCAGACTTTTTTTTTTTTTTTTTTTTATCCTCACCCGAGGACATTTTTCCATTTTTTGTTCAGGTAGAGTGGGAGGGAGAGAGGAACAGAGAGAGAGAGAGAAACATCGATGTGAAAGGGACACATCGAGTGGCTGCCACCCGCACAACCGACCAGGGCCGGGGACAAACTGCAACCGATGTACGCGCCCTTAGTGGGAACCGAACCCGGGTCTCTCAGGACCGCAGGCCGACGCTCTAACCGCTGAACCAAACCGGCCAGGGCCAGACTTTTTATTGAAATCAGGGTTCAGCAAGGAAAGTGAGACCCGCTCCAAGTCTTTAAACCAGAGGACATTTGACAGAGAATTACACCAGTGATAAAAGAGCTGAGAAGCCAAGAGGACAGTGGGCAACCCAGAATGAGCAACACTGGGAAGCCAGGACCACGCCTCTGTCTGCAGGGACCACGGGAAAGGGGATGTTGTCAGGACCCAGAAGCTAAGGTGCCCTGGTGGAAACTGGAGCCAAGTGAGATGCAGCCACTGCCAGAGACCTCTCAGGAAGGACAAAGGGGAAAGTGGGTGGGATTTCTTCCCTTCTCCTGCCCCCGTCTTTTCATTAATGCCTCCACTGGCCAAGCTGGAGAGCAATGGAACCTGGGAAATGTAGTTTCTTATGATACAGAGCTTGGGGGGAGGGGCAAGAAATGGATCTGAGTAAATAGGCTGTTGACTGGCACTACAAAATGTAGTTAGTATATATACTTCGTTCAGTTATCCCATTAGCAAATACTTATTGAGGATCTACTGTAGATGCCAGGTATCTTGCTGGCTGCTGGAGATACCATACTGAGCAAAACAGACCTGATCACTATTCTTAAGAGATCAGAGTCTGATTAACATAGGAGAGAAAATACAGACAGAACCATCAAGT